TATGATAATTGACTTTCTCTGCTTGACTTATTTCACTTAGCATAATCTCCTCCAGTCCCATCCATGTTGATGTAAAAGTTGGGTATTCATCCTTTCTCGTGGCTGAGTAATATTCCATTGTATACATGGACACATCTTCTTCCATTTTTTTAAAAGATTTTATTTATTTATTTGAGAGAGAGAGAGAGAGAAACACAAGTGGGGGTGGGGGAAGGGGCAGAGGGAGAGCGAAAAGTGACTCTCTGCTGAGCAGGGAGCCAAATGTGGGGCTTCATCCCAGGACCCTGAGATCAAGACCTGACTTGAAGGCCAATGCTTAACAAACTGAGACACCCAGGCACCCCTTGTTCTCTACTGTTAAGAGTATCTTATGGTTTGTTTCCCTCTCTCTTTTTTTTCTTTCCCCCACTCCCTTATGGTGTGAACATTAGGGATGTCCAGCCTGCTCCAGGTCTGAGAGGTGTTTGAGCAGCTGCGGTTCCAGCAGTCAGGCTTAAGTCTCCTGGTGCTTCTGTCCCCTGGGACCCCTGATACCCTGGGCTGTATCCTTAAACCCCAAACACAATTTCATATGCTGAGATCAGTCCTTCTAGCCACCAAGGTGCGCTACTCTCTATACCCTGTTAGCTGAGCCACAGGAAAATTGAAACAGGTCTGGTTCCCATGCCACCCCTGATCCAAATCAGTGCTTTTGAACCCTTGATTTATAGAGCACAGGCACATGATAATTATATAGAGGAAAAAAAACAAGGATTTATAATAAGTTTTGGAGAAGACATGAGGGTTCTGGGATGGAAACAGGGAGAGGGGAGGAGTAGCTTAGGCAGAAGGAGACCTGCCACATCCAGGCCTGGAGGGAAATGGGAGATGAGCACTTCCATCAAATGCCCTGTGAAGACTGAGACCACAGGGATGGAACAACAGCCTTAAAACACCCACCTTTGGGCAAAGTTGCAGGGCAGGGGGTGTGGAGGGAATGCTGTATCTGTGGGCACTCAGTTGGCTCCAGGTTCACAGAGTCCGGCCTAACCATGCATTTCTCATCTAAACGAGGCTCATACATGGTCCAGCTTGGGAGGAAGATGGACATTGGGTAATTCTCAAGGAAGCTATTCCCTGAAAACAAGCATTTGCCTCTGGGACCCCAAGGAAGACAATCCAGACCTGGAGGAAAACATCATGGTCCATGGCTCAGCAGTTTGTGGTCTAACAAGCCCTGGGTAGGGGATGGATGCAGCATCCTCATGGCAAGGGTGCTCCTGCTGGGATCACCACAGAGATAGGGCTCCTAGGAGTAGAGGCCTGGGAAAAGATCCCTCTACAGGCAGCCGGGCAGGCAGCAATGCTAGGCCTTCAACTGTAAGTCAAGGGGCTCTGAGAGGGTGGGCCCCTGGGAATGTGATATTAGGGGCTTTAGTGCCTCAAGACAGAGTCATGTCTATGAGGTTGACCTCAGGGTCAGAGGCTGGCTGGGGAGCCAGTCCTTCAGCTGTGCTGGTAACAGGCTAGAAGTGGCAGCAACATTGATGGGCAGGCTGGCCTGAGGATGGTCACTGGGACTGGAGTGGGAGGGGACTCTTCCAGGTGAAAACAGGAGAATCTGGTGGGGGCTCCATTTCAGAGATGCTGGGAGCAGCAGGGAAGGCACAACTGGCATCTGCTTCAGCTGTCACTGAGGCCTTGGGTTACAGAGGGTCTCCTCCCTCTCCCCATGAGAGGGGAATCTGGGAAGAGCGTCACCATAAATGGGGACAGGGACTCAGCTGCTTCTGGAGCTGGCCAGTCAGGAGATGGGCTTCTCATGCAGACTCCCTGCCTGGTGAGATGGAGGGGGCAGGGGTAGTGGTTTGGGGACCCAGCAGGTCAGCCCTGCCTGATTCTTGAGAGTAAGCAGAAGTCAGCCAGGGAGGTGGGGACGGTGATTGTAGAGAGGTGACTGAAAGGGGCTCTGACACAAGCTGTGTGCCCTCTGAGATAGAGGATGCACAGAGCTGCCCCTCAGTTGGAATCCAGGGTGGTCACTGGGCCCTGGCAGTCCTTCATCTTCCTGCATCTCTCCTGCTGTGTATTCCTGCTGGGGGCTGGAGGGACAGCTGGAGGAACAGCAGACCTTGCTGCAGGCAGGGGGAAAGACCTGGAAGTCCGTGTAGTGCTGTCGTTGAAGATGGCCTCAGAGTCACCCAGAAGTGCACTGGGCGTGTCCTGGAATGCTGCTTCCTCCTCAGAGGCTGGTCTTCAGCAGTGATTCTAAACCCACCTCAGAGGTGCTGGCAGTCTCAGAGGGTCCCTTGTCCTGTAAGCAGGGGTCCCCGGTCCTGTCTCCTGGTTAGAAGTATGTGAAGCTTGTTTCTGAGGCCTGCAACTGTCAAGTGCACCTGAGCAGTTCCTCCAAGTGTGTTTCTGTCTGATGGTTACATGTGCATCCTTTTGTGCTGGATCTTCCTCTGGGAAACCATCAAAGCTGCAGCTGGACAGCAAGGGCCTGTCTGGCTCACTTTCGATGAGGACCTCTGGAGCACCTAGGCCTGAATACAGCCAGAGTGTCCTACTTTACAGCTGTGAGAAACATGAGGTGGAGCTGTATGAGATCATAGAGCATTTTATTTGGGACAGCTCTTACAAGAGATATAGGATTTCTGGTTGGACATACTTCTGAGCTCTCAGGGCTGGAGGAATCTCTGCAGGACCCAAGCCTTTTAAGAAGGAAGAGAAGCCTGCATGGACCCCCAGAAACTGAATGAAGGTGGTGTCCTCCATGCCATCAGGGTGCCTTCCCTAATAGCCCTGCCTCTCTGTGGCTGTGGGGTCTTTCTGCTGCTTGGCTGTCCCTTTCACAGTCTCTCTGAGAGCCCTCAACATGGGTTCTTTGTGGACTGGCCTTGGATATCTGGGTGCTGTGGGTGGCATAGCGGTTACTAGGTGCTCCTGTACTACAGAGGGAGTGAGATGGCACAGTGTACACGCTGAACCACTGGACATGTTTGCATTGGGAACAGATATCACTACTTTTCCCTGAAGGCCTTGCCTGCCAATTAAGGCAGAATCTATAGAACCTCAAAAGTCACATTGGAAAATGGTGCCATGAAGTTAGCCCCTACCTCCCACAAGGGTTCTCGTGGGCTCAGGGGACCCAAGCACAGGGACAGCTGCCAATCAGATGGGGATCCTACAGTGTCCCCTCCTCAATACTAGTGCCTGCCATGTGCCCAGAGGGATGCAAAGCAGGGGGAGGTGAGCTGTCCTGCTTGCATGAGTGCTGTTGGGCCTGTGTCTTCACTCTTTCACCAGATGCCTGAATCAGGAGTGGTCAGACCCAACCCAAAATGTCTCATCACACCTGGATATTAACAGAGGAAGCTCTCTGCTGACTTCAGCAGTTTGGGAGGGCAGGGTTGTGTCCTGCAGAGTGAGATGAAGAACATCTCCAAGGGCTCTCTTCAGAAATAAATCAATGCACATACCTCCTCCAGGCCTGCCCATGGTGGCCCTACAGGCACCCAGAGCCCTGCCTCCAAGTTAAGCAGAGGCTGGAGGACAATAGCCCTTCCTGCTCAGGTGCATGCATGGATTAGGTACTGGTTCCCTGGGAGATGTGTTCAAGGCATCTTCTAGTGGGCTGCATGGATTATGACTATACTCTTGTCTACTTCATGGTGGCAGGCAATAGTAGCTAGGCCAGTGTATTGGTTGATTACACTGTAGACCCACCACGTAATTTGGGGAAGGGATGAGCCTTTCATGGCAGGCAACCCACATTTACAATTTCTTTTCATGTTCCTCCTGTGAAACATCACCCTCTGCTGTTTCTCTAGGGTCCTGTTTTTGACATCTGAAAGGAAGGGAAGAGTCGGGCATGACCAGAGCCACCCAGGGTAGGAAAACACCCGTGTGGGATGTGACCAGGTCAGGGCCAGCCTTCTCTGGGGCCTGTCCAGCTCAGCCCTTCTGACTCCCAGCCTGGCTCACTGCTGGGCCATTCAGGACTGCTCACCATGAGTCAGTGGTGCAGGCCCAGGTTCAGGGGCCACGGCAGCACTAAGGAACAGGGTGAGGGGTGCTGCAGAAACATTTCCTAGACCCTGAAGAGGCAAGGCCTCAAGTACCTGGATGAGACCAGGTTCCTCAGGGTGAGCCTCATAAAAAGAGACAATGGGTGAAAGCTACAAAGAGGAGCTATGCATTGCAAAGAGAGAAAGTGAAAAGAGATAAAAGGAGGAAATTGTTACAAGGCACCATGTTGCTGTTCATCTGAATCCTCAGAAACTGCAAAGTAGTCTTTGAATGGATATGGCACTGATGATGTGGGGGAGGCCGTGGGAAAGGAAGTCGCAGAGTTAGTTGGAGGTGAGAAGGCAGACCCAGCTGCTCCAGGGATGAAGTACCCTGAATTCTGGATGACTCGTCCTCAGCTCTGAGTCCTCCCCAGGCTCCAACCCTTCACGTCTGTAGGAAGGGAGTGGGTCTCTGTTCTCTGACCTGCTTTTACAGCCTCACATTCTCTCCATGACCAGGGATGGGTGGTTACCTGTGTCCTCCTGTCCCTCCTGCAGGAGATCACTGTCCCTATCAGACTCTGTTCTGATATTACCTTCCTCTCTCCTTGTTCCTCTCTTGCCTTGTTCCCCTTCCTCTTCCTCTCCTAAGATATGCTTCATTGCCTTTCTACTCTCAAACTCCACTAGTCACATTGTTATGGAATAGGGAAGCACTGGAAGAAAGACAACACATGTGCTGGCACCCACTCACTAAATCCACTGATTCTTCTTGTGTGGGGAGCAGCTCTCCTGGGTCTGGGACTGCTGCGGACCTTGAGGAAGATGGTGCCAACCACCTCCATGTAGCCAGTGTCTGTTCTGAGCCTGACATGACCATACTCAGGAGACATTTTCCCCTGAAACAACCCCCCAAATTCCTAGAACCATTACAGAGGGTGAGTGAAAATTAGAGGATGGCAACTTGTCCAATTTCCCTTAGTCTCTCAGTGAGGCCCTGGGAAATATACAGCCGTGTGGCCACATAAACATACAGTACCTGCCAGGGTTTGCCCCAACCACTGGAATGAAAGCACTGGGCTTGCCAGAGGAAAGCTCACAAGGTGGTCATGACAAGGACTGTGATAAGAGGCAAGGTCAACACCATAGGCAGGAGGACTTGGTTTTGAGAGGGGCAGTGACCCCTGGACCCGCTGCCCAGAGGCTCTGCCCTGGAGCAGGTCAATGCCAGGTGACAGGTCAGTGGGGCTGTGAGGATAAGTGTTTGAAACAGGCCCAGCAGCCCCTCACACAGTCCTCTAGAATTCCTGCCAGCCATGGAGAATCTGCAGTACGGCTGCACACGGGCCTCCCTCAGATGGAAGCACATGATGAGCCCGTTCGACTCTGAGAAAGGACACTGGAGCCTATGCAGTGATGTCAGAGGGAATAATTTTTAACATATGCAGATGTGGGAGTGGTCTTGAAGGAGGAGCAAACAGGACAGAAACATGATGTTACAAATCGTAGAAGTTGAACGGGAGAGAGTTGCCTCTCATTCACCACCTGGCACACACTAGAACTTTGTCTCTGGGTCAGACGTCTGTGAGAGAGTTGTGTCCCTGCCAGGATCCATTCATAAGTCATTAACAGAATGGCCTCCCAATCTCTCAGGCACAAGTCCCAAGAGGTGCCAAGCAAACAGAACCAAGATCGGACATTTGGCAGTGGCAAAGGGAGGGGAGTGCAGGTTTCACGGGAATGATAGTTTTAGAGAGCAAAGCAAGAACAGACATTTTCAAAGACAGCACACTCAAACCCTACAGACACACTTCCTCTTCCTATTATGTCATTAAATTATGAATTGAACAAATCAGACTTCTACACCTATTTCCCTGTTCTGACTTCACATGCACCTTTGCAGTCTCCAGATCAGCAGGTGCAACCCAACTGTTACCTGGAACCCTCTCCTGTTGATTCCTACCTGAGTGCTGTTCGGGTCTGGAGAGTCTTTCCCCCTCTGGCTGGAATCATCCTCCAGGTTCTCCACAACCACATCTAGAGACACACAAACATGAGCAATCCTGTTATTGGAGAGAGGGGCCCAGCCATTCCTTCCACTCTAGGTGAGGTTGTGGTGGGTCATCCAGCATCTCCCTGAATTTTTCTGTGTGTTCTCAGAAGTTTGTTGGCTTGGTGGAATCTGAGCCCTTCAGTAAGACATTGATCACAGTTGCAAATCTGAGATGTGATAGAGATGCTACAGGAATCACCGTTCACACTTTCAGTTGTTCAAGCTTATTATAGCTCTCACAACCAAACTTAGCGACCCAATTCCACCTCTTAGGGATACACATGAAATGTGGCTCGTGTGACTGAGCAATCTGATGTTTTCTTTCCTTGGAATTAATTGAGTTAATGAGTGATGGAATGAAATTAGTTTTACACAGATGGATACAGGCTAGTGGCTAGCACCCTGGATAGCAGAGCTGTAGATACCAAATCCTCATGTAGAGGACATAAGTGCCCATCCCCTCATTGTTACTTGCTGTGTAGCGTGCTGGCCTGATGGGATCATTCATTTGCAGGTATTTCCTGGGCCCATGCACACGTGGTACTCTTTGAAGTCCTGGGACACCAAAACAGTAAGGTCAACACCCCAGGTCTTAGTAGCAGCAACGTACAATTCAAAGCAACTCCTATCAAAATCCTGATGTCGTTTTATAGAAACAGAACAGATAATGTTAAAATACCCAAGGAACCCCAAATAATGAAAACAATCTCGAGCATGAGAGAAAAGTGGAATTTCCACTCTTTCTGACTTAAGATGCATTACAAGCTACAATACTCGAACAATATGGTACTGCCCTAAAAATAGATAGGGAGAACAATGGATCAGCATAGAAAGCCCCCAAATGAACACACCTACATGGGCACATGATCTTCAACAAGGATGCCAAGACTGCAGTATGGAGAAGGATAGTCTCTTCAACAATTGAGAGAAAAGAAAGGGAGAGGACAGCTGCAAATTCACATTGCAAAAGGAGCTAATATTCAAAACATATAAGAAACTCCTGCATGTGAATTGCAAAAACAAACCAAGAAAGCCAGTAACCCAGGTTAATCATGGGAGAAAGACTTGAATAGACATTACTTCGAAGAAGATGTACAAATGGCCAACAGACATATGAAAACCTGCTCAACATCATTGATCACCAGGGAAATGCAAATTAAAAGGACAGTGAGAAATCACCTCACTTGTTCAGATGCCAGTTACAGAAAGAAAAGAAGGAAAGGAAAAGGCAGGGGAGAGGAGGGTGGGAGGATGGGAAAGAAAGAAGAAAATAAAGAAAGAACCATAAAGAGTATTGATGAGAGGGGTGCCTGGGTGGCTCAATTGGTTAAGCAACTGCCTTCGGCTCAGGTCATGATCCTGGAGTCCCAGGATCGAGTCCCGCATAGGGCTCCCTGCTCGGCGGGGAGTCTGCTTCTCCCTCTGACCTTCCTCCCTCTCATGCTCTCTGTCTCTCATTCTCTCTCTCTCAAATAAATAAATAAAATCTTTAAAAAAAAAAGAGTATTGATGAGAATATGGGAAATCAGAACCTTTGTACACAGTGAGGATGTAAAATGGTATAGACATCATGAATGAAAAACCATAATGAGTTTTTCAAAGAACTGCAAATAGAAGTACCTAATGATCCAGGAGTCACACTTCTGGGCATAGTGTGAGGGGAAAGGAAACCAGCATCTCAAGGATACAGCTGCACAGTTATACACACTGCAGCATTCTACACAATAGCCAGAAAATGGAAACAACCCCAGTGTCCACACACAAGATTGTGTGAATTGATAAATTGATGAAGAAAATGTGGTACCTAAGTGCAGTGGAATATTATTCCAACTTCAAAGAGAGAGGAGAACTTGCCATTTACAGAATGAAGAATGAACCTGGAGAGCCTTATTCTACGGAAACACAAATACTATGTGTTTGCATGTCCATGAGGTGTGTAAAATATCAAAGTCATAGAAGCAGAGAATAGAGGATTGGTTGCCATGCATTGGGGGAGAAGGAAGTGGGGAGTTGCTTTCATGGGCTTTGGTCCTGCATGAGAATTGGCCCCACCTCTGACAGATGTTGACCTGCATGGTCCTGTGGGGGACCTACATCCACACCTTTCACAATCTGTGGACTGACCACAAGCATGTGTGCTTTCTATCTGTCGTCCACACTAATGACTAGGCTTAAATGGGTTGTTAAATGCACAAGAGCTGTCCTGGGTTATTTGTCCATGGAGGCCATTTAAAATGTTGGGAAATGTTGTGACCTTGTAGATGAGCATCTCCAGGTATGTAATGGATGTGGGACTTGCTCTGTGACTGATGGTCCCATAGCTGAGTGATAAGGGCAGGTCAGTGGCCCAGAGCTACAGCACTGGGACATGGGCCTGGATTTTCCCTCTTCCATATAGAAGGCAAGAGCTTGGGCCATTCATCACTGCAGCATCTCCTT